CCATGCCATGTGGTCACCTCCGGGGCAGGCGGGAATCGAACTCATGCGGAAGTGGCTTTAGCTTCCCAGTGCTGTGCTTTAACCCATTGAGCAACCAGGAAGGGCCAGTAAGTTTATCTTTTTGATAGTTGAGTAATACTCCATTTTGTGTATATACCACATCTTCCTTAACCACTCGTGTCTTTTGGTACTTAGAATGTTTCCACAGTTTGCTTATTGTAAATGCAACAAATAGAGGAGTGCATACATCCCTCCAAACTAGTGGTTATGCATTGCTCAGGTAGATATCTAGTAGTGGAACTGCTGGGTCATATGGTAAGTCTCTTTCTAATCTTTGAAACCTCCACACTATTTTCCATAGTGGCTGGATCAGTCTACATTCCCATCAACAGTGTAAGAGGGATCTCTTTCCTCCACATCCTTGCTTTGTTTCTGGTGTTTCTGACATGGGTCAGCCTCACACATGTGAAGTAGTATTGTGAAACCTCACTGTGGTTTTGATTTGCATATCCCTGATAAGTTATAACGAGCATTTTTCATGTGACTGTTGGACATCTAAATGTCAAGTGTCTAACTATTCTGCTCATTTTCTTATTGGGTTGCTTTCTTTTTGTTGATAAATGAGTTCTTTGTAGATCGTTGCTATCAAAAGTCTTTTTTTTTTTTTGGTCAGGTGCATGGTGTGCAAGTATTTTCTCCCATTCAGCAGGGTGTCTTTTTTTTTTTTTTTTTTTCAGTTTCTTTCACTGTGCAGAGTTGTTTAGTTTCATGTGGTCTTGATAATTCATATTCTCTTTTGATTGCCTTACTGTTGGAAATGAATACATAAAGATATCTCTGAAGTATATGTTGGGAACTGTTTGTCTTTGTTTTCTTCTGTATTTCCTGTGATTTCAGGTCTTAAATCTAAGTCTTTTATCTATTTTGAGTTGGTTTTTGTGTATTGTGTGTAAGAGTGGATCTAATTTCATTCTTCTGTACCTGTTTTTCTAACACTTACTGAAGAGGATTGCCTTGTTCCAGTGTACATTCTTGGTTTCTTTATTACAAATTAACTATCCATATAAGTATGAGTTTATTTTTGGACTCTCAATTCTAGTCCATTGGTCTGTATGTTTTTGCTCCAGTATCAACTGTTTTTGATTATTGTAGCTTTGCAATATGGCTTGAAGCCTGGCAATGTGAAATCACCGTTCTTCCTCTTTTTTTTTTTGTCAAGAATGCTTTGGCTATTCAGGGTCTTTTGTGGTTCTATATGAATTTCAGTAGTGTTCTATTTCTTTCAAGTTATCCATTTAAAGTTTGATAGGCATTGCACTGAATCTATAAATTTCTTTGGGTGAAATGGCCATTTTGACAATATTAATTCTTCCAATCCATGACTAAGGAATAGCTTTTCATTTTTGTGTACTCTATTTCTTTTAACAGTATCTTAGAGTTTTCTTTGTATAGGTCCTTTACCTCCTTTGTTATGTTTACTCTAATTCTTTTTGATGTAATTGAAAATGGGACTGCTTTTTTAGACTTTTTCCTCTTGTATCTCATACAGGAGGCAAGTGATTTTTTTATATATCTACTTTGTAGCCTGCCACTCTACTAAACTGATTTATTGTTTCAATTAGTTTTTTTCATGGCTTCTGTAGGGTGGGTTTCCTGCAAATAGAAATTACATTCATTGAATTCTTTTTATATCCTTCATTTGCCTAACTGCTGCTGCTAGGACATCCAAAAATATACTGCATGGTGATGAAAGCATACAATCTCGCCTTGTACCAGCTCTTACATAAAAACAGACAATGATAAAATACTATAGATAAGTCAATCAAAACTATATCACTTTCTCTCATAAATATACCAAAAAGAAGTGAATACTATTAAAAAAGATGTCTAAATGGTAATGTTTCCATATTGGCTTTGGTATAAAATAAGCAAGAGTGGGGGAAGGTAGCTAAATCTTAGCATACCATTCATGAAAAGCCACAATTAGATAAGCTACTTTTAGCTCTTTCCCTGTATTAACTCATTCACTCCTTACAATAACCTCCTAAGGGATGTACTAGTATTACTGTCATCTACATATGAAAAAACTGAGATGGAGAGAGTTGAAATAATTTTTTAAAGATTATATGCCTGGTGAATAGTGGAACAGAATTAGAATTCAGGCACTTTGTTGTTCTTTATTGTTATATACAAAATCTACATCATAATTGCTTATAAAAATTAAAAACTGAGCTGTAAATAAAACCTACAACATGATTCTTGACTTTTGATAAATGCCCACTTTATAGGATCTATAAAATACCCATTAAAAATTACAATGATCTGGCCCTCCCTGGTGGCGCAGCGGGTTAAAGCACTGCACTGAAAAGCTAAAGCCACTTCCACATGAGTTCGATTCCCGCCTGCCCCGGAGGTGACCACATGGCGTGGCAGACCTCTCCTGACCCGCCCGCTGCTCCCCTCAGCAGTGTACTTCCTCGATCTGCCTGTTCTGCTCCCCACTCTGTCTCTGGTGAAGCCTCTTGCCACCCCTGAGCCTCTGGCCTGTACCCCAGTTCTGTATGTACAACTAAAATAAATCTTTAAAAAGAAAACATTAAAAAAAATTACAATGATCTAATTATATTTATACACTATAAAAATTAAATGTGGTAAGTTGCAAATACATTAAACTTTGAAATTTATAAAACATGTTTCCATAATTATGTCATCTGTTTTAAATAACTGAATAAAAACAGAAGGGTAGATAATCATTCATGTGCAAGCACATGATGAGAACGAATATAAAAAGAGACTTAGTCCCTTAAGGAGTTCAGATGAAGAAAGAAAAAAAAATTAACAAATAACAATATTGCAGCATGGTAAATGATGAACAGGGTTTATGAAAGGACCAAATCTCTAAAACAATTTGATCAGTGATAAGGAGATTCTGCAGTGGAAGAAACTAAGGCTCAAGAAAGCTAATCAACTTGGCTAAGCCTGTAGGTTCAAACCTAAACAGCAAAGTTAGGTTTGAATCCATGCATTTGCTTCCTACGTAGTACTCTTTTTGCTGTATCAGACTCACTGCTCTCTGAAGTGTGACAGCTGCTTTATACTCCGTGAGAGACGGCCTCTGTTGGTGAAAAATTTTCCTATTCCTGCATCCTCGCCAATGTTTCTGGATAATCAATGCTGATTTCTCTTCTATTTCCTGATTATGTTTTTCCATCTGACCTAAAAAGATGACAGACATGATTACAAAATACTCAAGTTTTCTCAAGTTCTGGAATTAGAACAGTGATAATAACAATCTTGGAATTCTTCCCCCCTACCCCTGATAGTGTTCATTATTTTCCAAACTCTATTATTTCATAATGGTACTAAGATTTGAAAAGCAAAGAGTTCCAAAAGTTTTCTCAAATTTTATTGCTTCTTTAGAGGAAGGATCAATGAAAACAGGGATGAAAATTCAATAGCATGAACATTTAGAAAAAAGAATTACAAGTCCATAATTAGGAAGTTAATCAATACCACCACTAGAAGAGCAAAATTATTATTTTAATTATTTACACTATGTGTTTCCTAGTTTCTTTTATGTCAGATGTGAATCAGTACCTTTAAGTTATATAAAATGCTGTAAACCAATGCTACCTCAATACAGTGAAAAGTTTACCATATGGAATATTATACTAATGAATTCATTAGTATTGATGAATTGACGACAATAGCAACTGAAGCTATAGTTTCAGTATGAGATTAACTCTAGGAAGAGTAACATGAAAATGACGGGGTGAGGACAAAAAACCTTGTGAAACATCTATAGCTGAGGCAAAGAGAAGAGAAGAAACAATCTAGTGAAGGATGCTAGGAATGAGTAGTAAGAGACAAAGGGAAATTGTAAAAATAAAAAATCTTGAAACTAATGAGATCTCCCAGACTACACTTTAATTTCAGCTTGGTAGGCCAGAGGTGCCAAAAAGATGTCACAGAGTTCTAGAAATTACTAGGTTAGTAAGAAATTTAGTTTATTGAAAGATGCTCTACAAAGAATATACAATGAAACAGAAAACTGGGACGCTACATGCAAAAAAAATGAAACTAGATCATTACCTTGCACCATGCACAAAACCCAACTCGAAGTGGATTAAAGATCTAGACATAAGAACAGAAACCATAAAATACCTGGAAGCAAAGATGGGCAAAACGCTACATGACATACAGCTCAGTAACATCTTTAAAGATACAGCACCCAACGCAACGATAGTGAAGGAAAGGATAGATAGATGGGATTACAGCAAGTTAAAGAGCTTCTGTACAGCAAAAGAGACATTACAAAAGACAGACATCCCACTGATTGGGAAAAAATGTTCTCACACAATACTAGTGGTAAAGGATTGACCACAAAGATATACAAAGAATTGATGAAACTCAACAACAACAAAAAAAGTAAACAACCCTATCAAAAAATGGGCAGAAGAGCTAAAAAGACATTTCTCCAAAGAGGAATTGCAGACGGACAACAAGCATATGAAAAAATGTTCAATATCACTTGTAATAAGGGAGATGCAAATCAAAACCACAATGAGATACCACCTCACCCCAGTGAGAATGGCACATCTTAAAACAACTAGCAACAACAAATGTTGGCAAAGATATGGAGAAAAAGGAACTCTCCTTCACTGTTGGTGGGAATGCAAACTTAAAACAACTAGCAACAACAAATGTTGGCAAAGATATGGAGAAAAAGGAACTCTCCTTCACTGTTGGTGGGAATGCAAACGTAAAACAACTAGCAACAACAAATGTTGGCGAAGATGTGGAGAAAAAGGAACTCTCCTGCACTGTTGGTGGGAATGCAAACTTAAAACAACTAGCAACAACAAATGTTGGCGAAGATGTGGAGAAAAAGGAACTCTCCTGCACTGCTGGTGGGAATACAATCACTATGGAAAACTGGAGGTTTCTCAAACTGCTGAAAATGGAGCTTCCCTATGATCCAGCAATTCCACTCCTAGGCATCTATCCAAAAGACACAAAAACACTGATTCAAAAAGACACCTGCACCACCATGTTTATTTCTGCTTTATTTACAACTGGAAAGACATCGAATCAACCCAAATGCCCAAATGCCATCAAGAAAGATAAATGCATGCCTTTTGCAGGAACATGGATGGAGCTGGATGGGATCATGCTGAGTCAAATACATCAGACAGAGGCCCTTCCTGGTGGTGCAGCATGTTAAAGCACAGCACTAAGAAGCTAAAGCCACTTCAGCATGAGTTCCATTCCCACCTGACCCAGAGGTAATCCACATGGCGCGGCAAACCTCTCCTGACCCGCCCCATGCTCCCCTCAGCAGTGTACTCCGTTGATCTGCCTGTTCTGCCCCCCACTCTGTCTCTGGTGAATCCTCTCTGCCCCTGCAACTCTGGCCTGTACCCCAGTTCTATATGAATAAATAAATAAATCTTTAAAAAAAAAAAAGAAAGAAAGAAAGAAATAAGCCAGACAGAAAAAGACCAATACCAGATGATTTCACTCATAGTAGGAGCAGAAAGGACCGAGGGAGGGAAAATAATAATATTGAACAGAGATATATACCAGAGACATTTTACCGGGTAGAATAGGGAATGGGATCAAAACTATGGGGGTACTATGCAGGGGACTATGAGGTTGGGAAGCCCACAGGGATTACAACTGAGATGGAAAAGGCACAAAATGATGTAAAAGTAAACTATTCTAATAAAAAAAAAAAGTCCTAAAAATTGTTGTTCTTACATAATTGACACTGCTACCCACCTGGATGAACTATATCAAGCATATTCAGTCTTAATTCACGGGAAAGTCTCATGGCTCTTTGTCTTTGAAGTTGCAACTGTAATTTGTGGTCGTCTTCTTCCTTCTGCCTATTTTGCTTCAGTAGTATCTTTGCTTGCTTATATCTGTGATGGAAACATTAAGTGCATTAATACAACTTCCATAAGTCATATGTCTCAAGAGTACAAAAAAGAATGCTTAACCTCAGCAGTAATTACATAAAAGCAGACAGAAAAAAAATTTTATTTTTTTAATTTAATTTTATTTTTTTAAGATTTATTTATTTGTGCATACAGACCTGGGGTACAGGCCAGAGGCTCAGGGGTGGCGAGAGGCTTCACCAGAGACAGCGTTGGGAGCAGAACAGGCAGATGGACAAACAGGCAGATCGACACTGCTGAGGGGAGCAGAGGACGGGCCAGGAGAGGTCTGCCAGGCCATATAGTCACCTCCGGGAATCAAACTTTAGCTTCTCAGTGCTGTGCTTTAACCCGCTGCACCACCAGGGAAGGCCATAAAAAAATTTTTTTTAAAGAGCAATTCCTAGTGTTGGAGGATGATGAGATAATGTTTTCATGTAACATTGCTCCTTTCTGGAGAAATACTTGGAAATATGCATCAAAAGTCTAGAGAAATACTTAAAATATGTGTCAAAAGCCTTTGTTGGCCTTTCCTGGTGGTGTAACGGGTTAAAGCGCAGCACTAAGAAGCTTAAGCCTCTTCCACATGAGTTCGATTCCGCTTGCCCCAGAGGTGACCACATGGCGTGGCAGACTTCTCCTGACCCACCTGTTCACCTAAGCAGGGTACTTCATTGATCTGCCTTTTCTGCTCCCCACTCCGTGTCTGTTGAAGAGCCTCTCACCCTCCGCATCTCTGGCCTGTACCCCAGTTCTGTATGAATAAATAAATAAATCTTTAAAAAAAAAAGCGCCTTTGGTGATCAATTACATTTCAGATCATTTTCTTATTAAAGAAAAATCATAAGTATATTTCTTTATCTTTCTATATAAAGATTTATGTTCAAGAATGCTTCCCATAGTGATAAATTAATAACAATCTCCCATAATTAGAAGTTAAAATAAATACTGGTTTATTCAAGGTGTGGAATTTTATAAACTAAGAAAAAATAAAAATTTCAGAGTATTTAGTAACATGAAAAATATAGCTACAATCCAATATCAAGTGAAAATAAAATTAGATATAGAAGAAATCCCAATTGTGCTAAAGATTATATATTTCTTATATAAAAAAAGTGATTAAAAAACATTAAAATTTCAATGGCAATTTTCACTGCATGGTGTGATTAGATGTGTATTATTTTCTTCATTTTTACCTAATTTTTAATTTATAACTGACTATAACATTTTTCATATTTGCACAAAGTTTTATTTAATTGGGACTTCTCTATTTGCTTTTATTCACCAAAATTTCTCAGCCATTTCGCCTTACCTTTGATTCCTTCCTATATCACTATGTAAGGGCACTGCAAAGATAGCACTAGTATTAGTCTACTAGTAAATTAGTGAACAAACTCAAAATGCCTTTAGATAGTCATAGGGAGGTAGGAGGAAAAAAAGAGAACAAGAAGCAGAGCAGAATACATTATTTGTCTTTAATTTGCAAGTGCCCAACTCAAGGGCATTTGCTCTCACCTAGAATTAAATTGCCAACAAATGTGGCATCTTGGCTAGACCTCTGTGGACAGCCAGACTTCATAATGGTGTATTTACAAAGGATAGTTTTAAAATCGATTTCTTTTGAAAAAGCAAAAACATTTAAGTGCAATACAATGCTATTTATTTTTTTTAAAGATTTATTTATTTATGCATACAAAACTGGGCTACAGGCCAGAGGTGGAGGGGTGGTGAGAGGATTCACCAGTGACAGAGTGGAAGCAGAACAGGTGGATCTATGAAGTACACCGCTGAGGGGAGCAGAGGGAGACACAAGAGAGGTCTGCTGCACCATTTGGATCACCTTCGGGGCTGGGGATGGAATTCACACTGAAGTGACTGTGGTGAGCTTGCAATGCTGCCTCCTAACCTGTTAAACCACCAAGGAGTGCCAGCAATACGATTTTAAAGAGAAGTCATTTAAGGTAGTGAAGTAAAACTCATAAAGTTATTTAGATAAAGTTTTGTGTTGTTTTTTACAATTTCTTAACTGCTACCAAATACAACTTAATTTCCCTTTGGCTTTCCACTTATGCTAAAGTTATCAACCTGTTATAAAAGGTAGAAATACCTAACATGTGTAAGCTCTAAAGGGAGAGGGGGTTCCTGAGGGGACACAGGGTTTCATTGAATAGTTCCTAAGTGTTTTTAATTCTTCTTAAGAGTTTGGAGGTCAAGTAAGGTTTTTTTCCCTTCCCAAAGAAACCTGTCTCTTTTACAAACTAGCCCCAAAACTTCTGAGTTGTACAACATGTAGATAAGAATGTTTTGCCCCTTACCCATTATGGAAGAAAAGAGAACAGGCTCTGAACAAAATTTCCTTTCAAAATGATTCTCAACAAAACACAACCCCACTTGTTTCTAACTTCCAGTTGGTCATGTATTATAATATCTATTATTATATTATCAGAATTTTTGATATAGTATCAGCACAAGAAATACTTTAATCAGTAAAACTGCATTGCAAAGACATTTGATTTGTCAGAAAATAGGGTTTAAAAAACAGCTTAGGAGTGAAGGCTATTAAATATGACAAAACTGAAAAGATAAGGGAACATGGAGGTGAAAGAAAACAAACCAGATACAGCAGAATAGTGAGGTTCAGTAATTGAAATAGTTTTTCTAATTCTATTTTGTAAATGCATTCTTCTGGAGTTACATGAACACATTTTTTAGGAATTATGTAACTCTGGATGTTATATTTCCCTTCTTAGTAACACTCTAGTTCTGTGGGTTGATTTTTATAATAATGAAAAAATTAAAAGATTTGTAGATTCAATTGGCTTCTTTGCAAGAAAGAGTAGGCATTTAACCATTTGGTGTCTATACTGTTTCTTGAAAAAGAAAAAGACTGAACAGATACTATTTTCTCAAAATAATTTTTAAGTGCTCTTTTTTCATTACATTTACTTTATATGTATTTTTGTCATCAAAGAAGGAAGTGACCAAACTATTCACTGCCAATAGGTCAGGAATTCCTCTCCTGTAGAATTTAAATGAACCTGCTGAGTGCCATGAATTAATGGGCAAAGAAGAAAGAAGCTGGTGAATTATGTTCATTGACAACAAATATTTACCGGAAAGATTGCAGTTTGGTATTTTCTCTCAGGCAAACACACAAGATACAGTTTTCTTAAGGTACTAAGTTTCAAGAGGATGGTATGTTGACAAAATTATTATTTTGAGCTTAAGGCAAATAAGAATCAACAGGTACAGAAAGCAGCTCCCTCAGAGCATCCCTATTGGACTAGAAGCAGAAATGTCAAGCAGTGAGGACTGCTCAAAATTCCTTCTCCCAAGAAAGTTTTAAAGTGATAAGAAGATGAAAGTTGGTGCCAACATGAAACTACATCTTCCATTATTTTCCCACTAAATCTACATTTCCACAGTTTACTGCCCCTAAAAGTCTGTCCTTTTTTTGATTTATTATTTTTCTACAAGTTTATTTTTCTTTAAGATGCTAAATAAACTCAAGTTCTAATGACCCCTGTGAGTTACTCACTACATACAATGTTTCTTCTACAGGTGCTGCACAGTTTCATAAATCTTTTTCTTGTTAATATGTGTTTCTGCCATTTTAAATTTTTACCACTCAATGAACCTATGATTTGTGAAGGAAAAAAAACCTCATTTACAGACAAGCAAATATAACTGGACTACCTAAACATCAATACCATGACAAATGTAGGTAAAGAGTGGTTTCAAGAAAATAACTGAAGTAGTTATCTGTTTCAGAAAACCTTGCTGAGGAAACCAATATTTAACAGAAAATAAAATTTCCAACTATGAAAAGTTATTAAGTAAAAAAAGAACCCTACAAGAAAGTACTTCATCTGGGATATGGTATGACTGTAAAAGACTATTTCTTGTTTAAACTAAAGGACTCTGATAAATCTGGACTCACCATTGTGAGAGGTGAACAATTACTTCCCCCTGAAAAAACAAACAAACAAAAAAGACACCTAAGAGAGGGAAATGGCCTAATCACAAAGAGAAGGAAATAACCTTTGCTGAAATTCCAGTTACTTCACAGCTGTTTTAAGGGAAAATATTTGTAATTCGTTTTGTTACATAAAGCAATGGACTCCAATAAAGCAAGCTTTTAATATTGCAAGAAAAAGTTAACATAGCAAATTTGGTGACTATTGTGGGACTCAACATTAAAGTCCTGGAGCCTCCTGGGTGGCCTAGAGATTAAGCTTTAGCACTACCACTGTGAAGGCTCACTCCAAGGCCTATGTTTGACCACTGGACAGGAAGGTAACCCACATGGCATAGCAGACCACTCTTGTTTCACCTGCTGCTGATTTTAGCAATGTATTTCAGTAGATCTGCTGCTGTTTCCCACTCTGTCTCTGGTAAATCCCTTACTGCCCCCTACCACACCTCTGGCCTGTACCCTAGTCCTTCTATGCAAAAATATAAACAAACAAAATCTTTAAAAAAAACATTAAGGTCTTGGCCCTCCCTGATGGCACAGCAGGTTAAAGCACAGCACTAAGGAACTAAAGCCACTTCAACATGAGTTCGATCCCCGCCCAGGATGTGACCACATGGTGTGGCAGACCTCTCCTAACCCGTCCACTGCTTCTCTCAGTAGTATACTTCATCGGCCTGTTCTGCTCTCCACTCTGTCTCTGGTGAAGCCTCTCACCACCCTTGCACCTCTGGCCTGTACCTCAGTTCTGTATGTACAAATAAATAATAAAATATTAAAAAAAAAACAACATTAAGGTCTGAATCCATGATATAGGGGTATCTTTAAATGTAAGAAGACAGACAGCTGAGAATGATAAATAAAAACCACTTTGGGTCCTCCCTGGTGGTGCAATGGGTTAAAGCACTATGAAGCTATCCACAACCACTGCAGCACAAATTCGATTCCTGGCCAGGGAGGCAATCCACATGGCATGGCAGACCTCTCCTGACCCACCCGCTGCTCCCCTCAGCAGTGTTATTTCACTGTATATACCTGTTCTGCTCTTCACGCTGTCTCTGGTGAACCCTCTCACCCCTCGCTTCTCTGGCCTGTACCCCAGTTCTTGTATGCATAAATAAATAAATCTTTTTTAAAAACCCAAAACACTCTGAGTTGACCACAGAAGGCAAGGGTCTACAAAAATATCTCAAAAGAATATACATTGTGACTCTTAACATATTACCTGTAAACCAGAATGGTTTTAATATCTACCCTTCAGATTCTAATTTAGATTCTTAGAGGCAATAGAAAGAACACACATACAAAGTTCAACATAGCTGCAATTATCAAAACTTATTAAAAAAAAAGATTAATTTCTGGAAAATACAAGTTTAGTTTAAGCTAGGTTGTATGAAAATTCACCTGACATGACTGTTTTATCACCAATGACACAGGAGTTGAGTCATTTTATGTTAATGTACTCTGTACTACCTCTAAGAATATGGATGGGTTAGTGGCATTTGTATTGCTCTGATTGAGTTATTGTGTTGAGATTTGTAATTATCCTAACAATTGAGATAGAATGAAAGTAACTTAACCTTAGCAATTAAAAAGCAATCCCGGGGAGGGAAATGCACGGGATTATGGTGATGGCACACGGGTAACTTGGTGATGGGAAACCCACGGGGATTACAATTGAGATGTAAAAAAATGTACAAAATGATGTAAAAATAAACTTTTGTAATTAAAAAAAAAAGGAATCCCTTTTTTGAGGACACTGATAAAGAGATGTGTAAGAGAACAGATTACCTAGTTGTGCAGAAAAGTCCCACCGAAATTAAAATTAGTATGTAGCCCTGATAATACATCTCTGAAAATACTGAATTTAAATTAATTTAAGATGCTTATGGACTAAAACCTCCTTCAGGTATTGGCAAGAGAATTCTTGGAGGTTGGGGGGTAACTCTGATATGCAAAGTGACCTTCCCTCTCTTTCTAAAGACAAAGGGCTGCCAGGAACTATCTAGTCCAGATTCTGCCCATTGTTCTGCACTGGTCTCCTGAGCATTGCCAAGAGGTTTGTACCTTTCCCCTTTGGCTACCAACTGAATTGTATGCTTACATTGTTATAATAGGAATTTCCCCCCAATAAATTGTTATTGTGGCTACATGCATTTGAGCTCTAAGTGAGCCTTCCTTCTAGAAGTTAGCATTCTAGAGATTCCAACCCTGATGAAATTATGGTATAAAAAACTGAACTGTATTTTCAGTATTTCATTTTTAGCCTACTTGAAATGGACATAAATGACAACTATGTTATATCTCAATGACTATATCCATTTATGCCCTATTTATTAAGGAATATCACAGTAAATACTTAAATCTTACTTATACAAGGTTTTACAACTACATTTGAACAATTAGGCAAATTTTTGGTTTTGAGGGCTAATAAGATGACTATCACTGGCTCCTTTTCAATAGGCTTGACCCAAAACATTAAGTAACTTGATTTTAAGTACATCATACTTTTGTCTAACATATTGTCCTTCATTTTGATAGTGCATCTAGATAGTGGCATAATGTTTCTCAAAACTGTATAGAAGAAATGAAACCAAAGAGACAGATTAGGAACTGAAAAGACACACATACATACACTTCTAATAAGTTTTTCTCAGCTGTATTCTAAAATAATTTATCTAGCCATTCTCAGATCATCATTTTTCTCACCAGTATTTTTTACCTGAATCTCCTCTGCAATGTAATCACAGCAGATGGAAGCTTCTTTAATCTCTTTCTAGTTTGGAAACCCTTCCAATAAGCTTGAATCAAGCAAGCTGCTTGATGTAGTTTCTAAAATTAAAGGCCAGAATTAAATTAGTGACATCTTTAGGAATGTATTTTTTAGAAAGTCTTAAAATATCAGGTCTATAAAAGTATTTATCTTTAGAAAGAAACATTTTCATAGGTCCAGGATAAGGAAGGCCTAAGAATATTAAAACTGACCTCCAAATGCTGGGCTCAATTAGGCAATATCCAGAATATATTCAAATTATTGTCTGATTAGTTTCAAATTCTGATTAATCTCACTTCATTCTCTTTTCAAAGATTTCTTAGTTCTGCTTACTTAATGCTTTAAACCTCTTTGCTTGGCTTCTTATGTCTGGCCTCACTTATTCAAGGTTTTAAGCACCTAAAAGAACTCTGTACAAGTTTAAATAGGGGCTTGGGTTAAAAATTTAGTACATATACAGTCTTTCCCCCCATTAAGCTAAGACTGTTTGGGATGTTAAGGGGAGAGAAGAAAGGGAGAAAGTAAATGAAAGAGTCAAGAGGCTATATCACTCCAATATTTGAAATTAAAATGTTTACTGAATGTTAGCAGATATCATGCAAATTATTTTTATAATTTAATACCTGTTACTCTACTTCCTGATAAACAATTTAATACCTGTTCTTCTACTTCCTTACAAGGGCTTATAAGTCCAGTGAGCTGTCTAAGTTCTCGATTAAACTCTGTCCCAAGTTCTTGTTGATAAAGTAGACTTCTGAGACCTGAAATTAAATAACAAAGGTAGAGCTATTAAAAACAAAACATGATTTTACTATCTACTCAATATTAATTTGAGGTTTAAACATCTCATTTAGAAATAAATGAACAAGATTAATCAGATGATTTTTCTTCTTATTTCCTTAAAGTTTCTAGATCAAGGTTGTTAGGATATTTCTCTGTCCTAAGATTCTTATGTGCTTACTTGTGAGAGCTGATATAAAAATCTGTCCTAAGATTCTTAGGTGTTTACTTGTGAGAGCTTACTTGTGAGGGCTGATATTAATCTCTCTAATTAAAAAAGGGGAAAGGAACAATTATGGTCAGAGATATTTTTTCCGTGTGAAAACAAATACCTAAAATTGAAAACATTTTAAGGATATATACTGAATAAATGCATACTCTATAAAAGCACTTAAATGGGTTATGAGTCAAATACAGTAATGTATATAATTTGGGGAAAATTACAAAGCAAATATTACAGAAGTGTTTTAATACTAAAATACTACATTTTCGTCCAAAATAAATCAGAGCAGATGTATAAGTACTATTTCTAGGTCAAGTTGGAGTGATATATGTATTCAATAAGAAGGTAAAATGGCAATGGAGTTACAGTTGGGAAAGCCAGTGTAGAATAGATATTTCCAACCCTTGTTCTTTTCTCAAGACTCAAGTTTTCACCAGTAAAACTGTAAAAATAGTGCAAGGAAATGGAGCAAATTCCACTACTGAGAAAAGGAGATAGCTTGTTATGGTGAAATTCTTTATAATGAACTGTTGGACATTCAGAATTGAAAAATGTTTATCTGGCAAAGTATCTTCTAGAGCGTTACTGAAATTAATGTAAAGTAATTGTAATGGCCCAGGTGATATTGCTTCCAAATTATCAAAAATGATTAAAAAGCCAGTATAACTGCTTTGGTTAAATACATATAATATTCTAATCTTTAAATTCCTTTAAATTGAATTCTGCATTAAAAGTATATTAAAAAACGACATAGAAACCCATTTACAGACCATGCTAAATAAGAAAAAAAAATGCAATTAATTCTCACTAGTAATGAAAGAACACAACTAACATAAAACTACATAGATATTTAACAAAACAAAATAAAACACAGCTAATCTATGTGATCTTGGGTGAATGACCTTATTTTCCCATACAACTACTTAACATTGTTGTAAAATGATAAGTAAATCTCTTATAAAGATTAAATACTTTGATGCACATAAAGTGTGTTAAATGGTACCTGATAAAGTAAATGTTCAATTAAATGAAAGCTATTACATAGGAAAAGCCCTGAGTTCTCTCATTTTCAAAATTTCTGACTTTATTTGAATATGTTTGTTGTTGAAGGTGCAGAAGATTTTTTTGTTTTGAGAAAAAGCAGTGAAAGAGCTGTAGAATAATAAGCTGATGGGGAATCTGAAGGGTTATCAGTTTCTCAAACACAGCGATATTTTCTCCAGTAAAGTTAGTCTTGGTAAGGTCACTAAACCTTTTGGTCATTGTTTTCTATCCTATGGTATATTCAACACAGAACATATAACTTTTTGTCAGAGGAGTAAATATTCATTGTACGCTTGTCAACAAAGGACCATATGCCATCTAATGAGACACAAAGATAGTCTTGAGTACAGAAAGATTTTTTTCCTGGACTGGTATTTGTTGTGACAGGGTTTTAGCTGCATACTGTCTTACTTTTTCAAATCACCTGAACTTTGGTTTCCATAAGGAATCAATAACAATGCTTTTTTTGAGAATCTCAAGAAAAGAACATGTGCAGTACCTTTGTAGTAGATACTTCGTCTCAATAAAATCAAAATTTCCTGATGGAATTCAGCCATTAACAGTAGAAGCTTTGTAGCAGTATGTCTTATGACTGGACTAGAAGTTGACAAAAGCTTGAAAACAACTTCATCTAAAATTGAATGCAAGGTTTTTCCTTTTATTCTGAGTAAACCATCACTAATAAAACAACAAAAAAAATGTAGCATTACTAATTGATGCATAGATATTACAAGTTAAAAGTTAAGCAACTTGACACCTGACTGTGGCCTGATGCAAGAAGATAACCAAGATTTTAGCTGAATGGCAATAATATATCACATTAAATCAGTTCATATTTACTGAACTCCTACTATGTACAGGGCACCATGCTAAGCAAAATAGGGAACACAAAACATTCAAAGGCCCCCTTCACAGAGAAACTTGCAATCAAAATTATGGAGGAAAGATTTATGTGCAAAGTATTAAAAAAGTAATTCAAAAACTTCAAGGAAGTAAGAGACAAACAACAAAACTATATAGTTCATTGCTTAGTAATGTATGAAGACAAAACACTACAGAAAATCAATTATCATGTACTTGATATAGGAGAAACTATCTTTCCTTCATTACACTGAGAACCTCATCTCAACTACTGATGGCTTAAAAAATAACCTGAAACTCAAAAATATTCAAAAGATTACTGAGTGTCCTTTTACTAATCCTTGTGATTTTCTAGGTTTTATGCATCTTTGACTATATTTCACAATTACATGAAAGGTTGGCTAAAGCAAATAATGAGAGTAATGCAAATAGGTTTTTGTTCAACAGCAATATAAGTGACTTTTGTCCAGCAGGAAACCATAACCCTAAAGGTTACTGTCCATATATAGAATTTTTTACCTATCAGTAAATTCATTTCTACCTTCCATGATAAATCAACTCCATTCATCCCCTCTCCTTCAAATTTTCCTTTGAATAATATATAAACATCTTACTGATTTACTCATTATTTTACAAATTAATTATATATATGTGTAAGAATCATGCTTTTACATTTTTTAAATACATTAGCAGTAATCAAAGTGACTTTAAGAGAAAACTATATCAGTATTTCATCCTAAATTAGAAAATCAAAGGATATAAGTATTTTAAAGGTCATTTAATTAAAATACATGGTAAGTTGGTGTCACTTCTTCCTTCATCGTTGTGGCTCTTATGCTATTACCTATGTTTAGTATGCTCATTCCTTTCCATTGTACCTTTCAAAACTCTGGTCAAAAACGAGTTCATTTTAGAAAGCTTTTCACATTACCCCTATCTCAACCTGATCATTTCTTTACAATGCATAAGGTTTATGCTATAATGCAGTTGTTAAGATGGTCTAAAATGCTCCTTAATTTCCTAATCCTAAAAAATTCTCTATGGATCGCCATCTTATCCTTCAGTTTCTTTTCTCATCCAAAATTTCCTATCTCTACTTCCTCACTTCCCATTTTTTTCTGAAAGTATTGCATCTCATCTTCCGATGTACCATTTCACTAAAACTGCCCTTGATGGATTTTTACCTTATCAATGTAACTTACCAAACATCAACTACATATGTATTATTAAGTCCTCATTTTTCTTGACCTTTCAGTACTTGATATTCTCCATCTGTAGTTTCTGTGATAAAAATGTCCCTCCCGTAGATTTCAACCACAACTGGTCTCCCCTGCTTCCTTAAAGAAGCCCTCCCTGGTGGCGCAGCGGGTTAAAGCACAGCACTGAGAAGCTAAAGCCACTTCAGCATGAGTTCGATCCTCGCCTGCCCCGGAGGTGACCACATGGCGTGGCAGACCTCTCCTGACCTGCCCGCTGCTCCCCTCAGCAGTGTACTTTGTCCATCGGCCTGTTCTGCTCCCCACTGTCTCTGGTGAATTCTCTCATCACCCCTGCACCTCTGGCCTAGACCCCAGTTCTGTATGCCTAAAATAAATCTTAAAAAAAAAAAAAAAAGATTATTCCCTAGGATTCCATTTTTAGCTTGATTTCTTTATTCACATTTTCTACTGAATTAATCTTCTCTCATGTTTTCAATTACCAACTGCAAATTGATGACATATAAGCCTATAGTCTAGATTTCTTCCAAAAGTCTGTTTTACCTCACAGTCACTTGTTCTTCCCTCAGGGGTCATCTAATTTGGAAAATTTTTAATCTTTTTTTCAGCCCTCCCTGATGGCGCAACGGGTTAGGATGCAGCACTGCAAGCTAGCTGCAGCAGCTTCAGTGTATGTTCAATTCCCCGCCCTGGAGGTGATCCACATGGTGCAGTAGACCTCTCCTGCCTTGCCTTCTGCTCCCCTCAGCAGTGTACTTTGTCAGTCTGCCTGTTCTGCTCCCTACTCTGCCTGTGGTGAAGCCTCTCACCACCCCTACACTTCTGGCCTGCACCCCTGTCCTATATGCATAAATAAATAAATCTATAAAAAAATTTAAAAATAGATTTAAAAAAAAAAAGACATCTATACATACAAGAACTGAGGTACAGGCCAGAGGTGCAGGAGGTAAGAGGACTCACCAGAGATAGAGTGGGGAGAAAAACAGGCAGCTTTACTGAAATACACTGCAGAGGAGAACAGCAAGAAAGACAGAAGAGATCTGTGCCATGTGGATCCCCTGGCCTGGGATAAAACTATTGCTGCAGTGGTTGCTGATAGCTTCACGGTGCTGTGCTTTTAACCCCTTGGGCCACCAGGGAGTCACTCAATCATTTTTTCTTCAAGAATTTTATTCTTAATACCTAGATTATCTCTAGATACCTTGATTAAACTTATACAAAGCTGCCTGAAATAGTTCCATTATTTTCTTTCTTTTTGGATTTCTTTGCTTTTCTTTCTTTTTGAATTTCTGTGCTGTTTCATTTTGGATAGTCTACTGCTACCTTAAAATTCACTAGTCTTCTATACTGTCAAATCTATTATTAATCCTATCTAGTATATTTTTAATCTCAAACATTGTAGTTTTCATGATTAGGAATTCAGTTTTGAGTTTTATGTTTCTATTCAATTTCCTGAACATATGGAATACGAATATATTAACTGTTGTAACGTCCCTGCCTATAATTTGAGTATATACGTAAATTTCACTTAACATTCTTTTTGTTATGGGCCCTACTCTCTGCCTTGTTTGCATGTCTGAAATATATAAATTTTATCTTATTAGGAGCTGAATATATTTATATTCTTAAAAATATTTTTGAGTTTTCTTCTGATAAGATTTTTTAAGTGTCATGTTTAAGTGACAAGCAACCAACAATTTTAGCACAGCAGGTATCAAACTGGTAATGCTTCTCAAAATTTAAATCAGTAGCACTTTATGAAACCAAATCAACTATGTTGGGATGTTCCATAGCATATTTATTTATTGGCCCTATCTAAACATTGTTTACTTTGAGTAACTGCAAGAAAAGATCACTTTAAAGTACTAAAGAAAGAGAAAATAGTAAGATCAAACAAAAGATTCTACGATGGCATAAATGCAATTGTCTTTTTAAGGTCAAATCAAAGACAGTAACATTTCTGCTACCTTGGTATACCCTAAGTAATAAAGACTTTAAGATGAAAGCAATTTCAATAACCAGATGTAGTTAAGTTACTTCAAAATAATCTTGATCCTTTTGGGTCTTTTATATTTCCTTAGATGGTCCAGAATAGCGCTAAGTCTAATGCTAATTATTCCCCAAAACTAAGGTAATACCTTCCTTAGTATTTATGGACCTATCCGATTTGGCTGTTAGTGCCAGGCAACATTCCTGGTTCTGTGTGACCTTCTGATACTATTTTTTTGTTTCTTTTTTGTTCTTATTTTATTTTTTACTAAATTAGTTTTAACATACATATATATTTACATCTTGTAAAACTTTTTTTACATTTGCTTTTTTTCTCAAATGTAGTCCCCATAGAATCTTTACCACCAGTTCACCCGTGTGCCATAAGCGCTCTTCCCTCCTTGTTTTAATTTCGTTAAGATTTATTTATGAACACAAGAACTGGCCTTTTGGGTTACTGAATTCCCCTAACATTGGGTGGTATTCTCACAAGTGTACTAAGTACCTAAAGGAATCCTCTGATGATCTCTGCGATTCTCTCTATGTGATGCTCTCTCTCTCATCTCTGGTATTTTGTCTTCTAAGTTCTAAATGTTTTATCTCCTCATGCTCTCATGAAATTCAATCTGGCTAGGAGACCTCTCTGTACCAGAGTCTGGAAATGTTCTCAATGGAATATTTAAGGAAACTATTAGGTTTTTGTTCATTCCTTTTTCTCAGGGCTAATTGTATTTCATTAATTGACATTCTCATTTTTCCTGATGTTTGTTTATTTCAGGTAGGAGGGTATACCTATCATTCCATCTTGATTATAAGTAGAAATGAAGTCCTTATGATTTTAATTCATTTTTTAAAAAAATTCATTATCCTGGTACTAGTGCCTAAAGCCAAAATCGTATTACTTCACTTGGATTAGCATGGCTGCTTACTCTGCCTTCTCTACCTGGTTAAAGACTTCCTCTGCAGTCATAGCATAACATTTTTACTCAATGTAAAAATACTTCAATGGTGCACACTACTTACAAGACTCAGTTTTTCTAATGGTATATAAGCTCTTCATGACTTAAGTTGCTACTGAACTTGTTAGCACCTCACCATACCAAATTTAAATGCCAGCAAAAATAAACTGTACCTACTTTTCATTCTCAGTATGTTGTTTCTTATTACATGTGTTTGCTTATTTTGTTATCTCTATCTAAAATATTTTCTTTCTTCCTCCCAGGCTAATTTCTCATCCTTTAAGTTTCACCTCAGGTGTTTGCCTCTTAAAGAAGCATATGCCTTCAGTTTGGATTAAGAGTTCCACTAACACTTGTGCACATCTTTGACGTTACAACTTACATAGTAGAAAATAACTGTATCCCTCTATCAGTCTTGTAAGCTATTTGAAGACAAATTTATATCTTAATCAATTTTGTGAATCCAGTGACAGACACATACTTGGCACAATTATCTACTTAATACATATGTTGAAGTAATCAATTATTTCAACTGTGTAAACTCTGTCTATCCACTTTAATCTGAGAAAACTGCCTATTACCTCTTTTATATGCTTTTACAAGCATACTACTGAATATCCAGTTTTGCTAAGTAAATGTGATTAAACACATTTTATTGTGATCCCAGTATTTTTTGTTCAGATACTATAGCAATTTTCTTCTCTAAGTGGGCTTTGGTCTAAAATCTTAAGCTGAGATAATATACCAATCTAATAATTAAGTTTCTGTCTTTTACAGTATTTTATAATCATTTTGTCCTCAAATACAATAGTAATAATAGAGCTTGTGAGTGTTACATCTAAGTTTTATGCAATCATGATTTCAGCAAAATTGGAATTGGTGATGCTTCTGATCAAAAATTTAAAAATTAGTATTATCTTGTAAAACCAAGTTACCTGTTGATCTGCAGCATATTCTGTAGCAAAGTCATGACTGTAGATCCTATTTGAATATTGTCAGTCTGCAGCAAATGCAAGAAATGATCACTTTGTAATACTACAGGAGGAGGAAAATAAGAAAAATTAAGACAAAGATTCCATGACACAATTGGGATGTACCTATCCTTTCAAAACAAATTCAAAGCATGATTTCTATTAAACTTTTTGCCTTGGTAAGCTTTGTAACTAAGACTTTAAAATGCAGCATTCTTAATAACCATAAATAACAGGCATTCCATTTTTATAACAGTGATAGAGAACACATCAAATATCAATCTAATAATCTATTGATATCTTTCCTAAAATTGAAAATAAAATACAGCATATTCTAAAATATCTTTCTTCTAGCAATCTATTTCAAGATGAATAAAATCGAATTTATGGTGAAGAAGATAGTATGCAGGAATGAAAAATGGTATCAATGACTGTAATCAGTAGCTCATATACTTCATACATTTTACATACTGTATCATGTTGACTATATCTTTTTAAAATAATAATTAAGTCACTAATTTCAAAACAACTTTTATTTTTATTGATTTGTAATTTTTGGACTTTGAGCAGCCAGTTATGAAGACTAGACATTGGATGTTGATGTAAATGGCTTGCAGAACATCTACTTCTTTATCTGTAAAATGAGAAATAGCCTTCTACAAGACTACTGTAGAAAGTTAAAAAACAGACTAGTTCTCAGTAAATATCAGTTTCTGTTTTTCTACTAACTGATCATGATCATAATTTTTTTTAAATAATACAACAGTTTATTTTTACATCCAACTGATCATAATTTTAATGAAAGCAGGATCAGGTATGCTGGCATATGAGTTCTGTGACTACTACACAAAATCTTTATTCTTTTCATTTCCTGGGGAAAATACTTGATTTCTTTCATTTCTATTACAAAATCCAATATTTTAATATTTCACTAAATAACAATTAAAAAAATCAGTAACTTCAAGCAGCAATTCCACTACTCTTATTCCTATGAGTTTTTATTGTCCATCATTAAAAAAAAAAATTGGTAGCTGGGATAATCTATTTTTGTCTACTAAAAATATTTTACTAAATTAAAATAAATAAATAAATAAAAATAAAAATAAAAATATTTTACTAATAACTATTTCTAACTCTGAATTAACTAAAATCATCACTACATACTATGCACATAAATTTGCATTTTTCTATATTGGGAAAATATACAAATAATTTATCAAACATTAATTCTGGTTTTTTTATATTGTTTTATAATACATTATTATATAGCTGATTTTCAGAGTCCCTGTTCTGTTTTTCAAGTACAGTCAGAGAACTAACTGGTTCCCACAAATAAAGCCTGGTATTTATTTATGCAAACAGCATTGGGGTACAGCTCAGAGGTGCAAGAAGAGTAAAAGGATTCACCAGAGACAGAGGGAGAAGCAGAACAGGCAGATGAACGGGTATACTGCTGAGGGGTGCAGCGGGCAAGGCAGGAGGGGTCTGCTGCACCATGTGGGTCAGCTCCCTGGCTGGGGATCAAACTAGTGCTGAAGTGGCTGCAGTTAGCCTACAGTGCCACACTTAAGTGGACAGAATAATACAATCAATCTCTAAGTTACCAGGTAATGAACTTTAACAATTACCAACTCAAAGCCAATCTTGTTTCGCTTAACTATCCATTTCCTGCCTCCCATGTTGTTTTGAAGCAAACAAAAGACACCATATGCTTTAATCGATAAATATCCCAATATACTTTTATTTTATTTTTTTTATTTATTACAAAAGTTTATTTTTACATCATTTTGCACATTTTTTCCCCATCTCGATTCAATATTTTTAAAACTTATGATTTGTTAAATAAAATATGAACATTGTTCAACCTAAATAATGGTGTTCTAATTTTTTTTAAGGCTTATTTATTTATGCTTACAGAACTGGGGTATAGGCCAGAGGTGTGGTGGGTGAAGGATTCCCCAGAGACAGAGTGGGGAACAAAATAGGCAGATCTACTGAAGTACACTACACTGCTTAGGGAAGCAGCGGGTGGGTCAAGAGAGGTCTGCCATGCCATGTGGATCACCTCTCTGGCCAGGAATTGAACTCGTGCTGCAGTGGCTTTGGAGAGCTTCACAGTGTGGTGCTTTCACCTGTTGTGCCACCAGGGAGCACCTGGCACTTTAATATTGTGACTCTCCAGTCCATGTTCCAATTTCCAATTGTTTTGTGAATTTTAAGTTTGAATCAAGATCCAAACACTGTGTTTATATTCAAATTCACTTCAATCTCTGGATTCCTCCTCTTCTTTTTCCCCTTTTTTTCTTGCTATTTATGTTTGTTGTGTCAACTGTCATTGAGTTTTCTGTACTCTTCGTTTTACTAACTGCATACCTGGGATAAAATTTACTATGGCTCTCAGTTCTTCACTCATCTAATTGGAGGCAAAGGAATAAAATTATTCAGGTTTGAGTTCTTTGTACTTACTTAGTGCTAATGTCTGGTTGTGTTTCCTTTTGATTATTGACAGTAATGGATGACTAATTCTTAAGTCTTTTATTTCACTAAGATTGCAAAATGACTACTCTATCATCTTTTCCACTTATTTATTGAATACTTTCATATGGAGAAATTTCTTCTTCGCAATA